GGCCACAAACCCTACTCTGAAGAGAATTACAATAAATAAAAAACGAAAAAAATGCATCTTTGACAGTCTGGTTCTTGAGATACAGGAAAAAGTAGTTTAGTTCTAACATAGCGGCTAATCTAGCTAATTTAATCATAATTTGCTATTGTGAAAAAATAGCTCGAAATTTTTATAGCGAGGAGTTTTAATGGAGAGTTTCCACCACAAAAATGCTGCAAAAGATTCCATGACTTTGTCCATTAGGAATAATGACAAACAAGAAACCCAAAATAAGCTAGAGAAAGGATAGGGGTTGACATATAAACGAAGAAAATAAATCACATTCCCATACCTCCAGTGACTGGCCCTCTACATTCCCATCTGAAAATGTAATAAAGGATACTTCCCTAAAACAGGTGATGCACGATATTAAGCATTTCAGCCCATCTTGCAAATTTGCACTTTTAAAAAAAGCATACAAAAATGAAAATTATCATATGATTTGGTCAAAGCCAAAACATCAACCCGAACCAAAAAAAGTCCAGTTGAAGGTTCTGTTTCAAAATGTTTTTCTTATTTTTTATTTTTTATTTTTTAAATCTCAATATTCAGTTTTCGCTTTGATTTGAATTTTCATTTAACCGAACAAACCAAAAGTTTGAATTTAAATGGAAGATTCATTAAATTAAATTGACATTATACATGTAAGATAGGTAATTATTGATGTTTGCTCATCACCGAAACCCAACTAACAACTAGACTTTAATTCATTCATAACCAAACTATTTAGACCAAATGAAATTTAGGTTTGGTCGGTTTGCTTTCATCAAAACTTTGATTGGTTCGGTTATTCAAATTTCAGATTTCGGTTGCAATCGGTTTGATAAGTATAAAAATTGATCCATCACAACCAACCGAATGCTCGCCTATGGCCTCTTTTTTGTAGAAAAGCAAAATAAACTAAATTCAATCAAGGGCTGTGCAACAAAAACATCACTGCCCAGCAAGCAACATACTAATATGTCAAGAAAATATATTTTTCTGTGCAATTGAAAACAAAATCGGTACACGACAATTTTATTCAAAGTTTTGCAGATAAGTATATATAAGAGTGACAAGTTTGAATCCACTAACGATGCAGGGAATAAGAGAGAGCATGCAACTACTCAAAATAAAAACAACACTTTGGAAATGGTGTAAAAAGGAACAATACATTTACTACTTGCAACTGAGTAGCCCAATCAGGGTTACAACCATAAAATCTAGTTAGGAGGCCTCATCAAAATAACGACAAAAAAATTTGATATGTTAATACGCAAGAATTTTCTGGTATGATGTAAATTTTCCTACAAAAATTGATGGGCGGCGCTGCATCTGATTGCCCAAAGAGAGGATCCCGGCCATCCATGAAGCAATTCCCAAGCAACATAAAAATCTCCGTCCCTCTCCCTTGCGATGTAAATACATAATAATTGTGTGATATGTATGTATATTTACCTAAGAAATTGATGGGTGACACTGCACCTGAAGGGTGACACTCCACCTGATGCTTGAAGAGAGGATCCCTATGCCATTTATTATGCAATTGTCAAGCATTAAGGGTCTGTTTGGGGCAACTTTAGCTGTTCAAAAAGCTACAGTGGCTATTACAAATTTATTTTATTTTCAAAAAAAGTAGACCGCAACTTTTTAGCAGTCCTCACACTCTAACAACTCAAGTTGAAAAACACACGTTCCAACCATAGAATTTTTCATGAAGCAGCAAAAAAATAGTCTCTCAAACAGAGTCGTGCAGATGGTCTGAATTGCAAAGCAGTTAGAAAGCTGCTTGAAAGAAACCCTAAATCTCTCATCTGAGGAGGAGGATGAGTAGCCGAATTACAATTCCAACAATCAAATCAAGTTAATAGGCCTCATCAAGACTATTGATATAAAATTGTTATCATAAAAAATAATGATGGAAAAATTGATATGTTAATACATAAGAACTGTGTGGCCTATAGGTAAATTTTCCTAAATAAAAATTGATGGATGGCATTGCATCAGTTCCCTTCATGCAGTTGCCTAACATTAAATCTCTTTCTCTCTCTCTCTCTCTCTCTCCATGTACATATATATAAATATATAAACATAAGATTTAAGTGGTATGTATGCAAATTTCCGTACAAAAATGATGGGCGACAATGCATCGGTTGCCTAAAGAAAGTATCCCTCGGCCATCCATGACGCAAATGCCTCGCATCAAATCTTTGAAGGTCTCTCTTTCTCATATGTAAATACATAAAAATTGTGTGCTACGTATGTAAATTTCCCTAAAAAAATTGATGGGCGGCACATCGGCACATCATCGGTAGAAGATTTCTTGACCATCCATGATGCAATTGCTTAACATCTCTCTCTTACTATGTCTTATATATATATATATATATGATGAGCATCACAATTAAAATTCACAACCATCACATTTATGATTTGTTTGGGTCAGCTGCAGCTTATTGAATAATCTGCTAATAAGTTGATAAAAAATAATCTGCTGATAAGTTATGTGGTACCTATTACAAATTTTTATTTTTTTTTTGGAAAAACCAGACCGCTGTCAGAAAACTGTCACCTCACCGCACCTAGATAGGTGCAGTGTGAAAACACTGTTTTCAGCATTTTCAAAACTAATAAGCTGTCAAAATGCAATTTACCCAAACAGTTGAGGTGCATTTTCAAAACGCCACCGCACCAAATAAGCTACCCCAAACGGGCCCAGAAGGCCTTATAAAAAATGACATAAGAAAATTGATATGTTAATACATGAGAATTGTGTGCTATGTACGTAAATTTTTCTAAAAAAACTATTGCCTAAAGAAGGATCTCGACCATCCATGATGCAGTTGTCAAACATCAAATCTCTCTCTCTCTCTCTCTCTCTCTCACACACACACACACATGTAATACATAATAATTGTGTGGTATGTATGTAAATTTTTCTAAAATTTGATGGGTGACAATGCATCTATTGCCTGAAGAGAGGTTCCCTTAGTCATCCTTGTAATTGCTTACCATCAGATCTCTCTCCCTCTCTCTCTCTCTCTATGAATATCTATGTGGGTGTGTGGGAATGATGATGATGATGATGAGTAGCCCAATCGCAATAATTCTAACCATAATTATATATGGATGATTATGACTAACCTGATCAAAATTAGTTAGGAGGCTTCGTCAGTGATAATGACATAAAAAATTTTGATATCTTAACACAAAAGAAATGTGTGATAGTATGTAAACTTCTCTTAGAAAATTGATGGGTGGTACTATATATATATATGTATAATACATAAGAATTGTATTGTATGTATGTAAATTTCCATGAAAGTTTGATGGATGGCACTGCATCGGTTACCTGAAGAGGCGATCCCTGAGCAATCTATGTGTAGCTGTGTAACACCTGATCTTTCTCTCCATCAATGTTGATGTAGATTATTATGATGAGTATTCCAATCACAACTCACAACCAACAAATCTAGTAAGAAGACCTCCTCAAGAATAAGGAGATAAAAAAGGGATACGCTGATACATGAGAACTGTGTGCTCTGTATGTAAATTTCCCAGAATAGAAAATCCACAGCCATCCATGATGCAATTGCCCTGCATTGATTCTAAAAATAGTATCCCCCAGCCATCCATGATGGCATTCCCTAACATCAAATCTCTAAATCTCTCTCTTTCTTCTAAATCTAGATTGATAAGAATTGTGTGGTATTCCTGTCAATTTCCCTAAAAAAATTATGGGTGGCATTGCATCGGTTGCCTGAAAAGAGGAACCCTCGGTCATCCATGATGCAATTGCCTAACATTAAATCTTGCAACCTTTCTCTCTCTCTCTCTCTCTCTCTCTCTCGTAAGAATTGAATGCTAAATATGTAGCACTGCATAGGTTATCTGAAGTGAGGATCACCCGCTCATCCATAATGCAATTGCCTGATATCAAATCTAGGATTTAGGGTTTAGAATTTTAGGGCTTAGGGTACCCTCTCTTCAGGCGATCCTGTCGCTGCCTTCCAAGTTAGCCCTATTGCGACTGTATCGCGAGAAAAAATATTGCATACATACACCACATACAGAGATCATTGAATTCTCATATTAATTTACATGGCCCACATCGAAACTCCACTTTTTGCATTTACACATCTCAATTTATAAAGTACTATCCATGTAAATATTAATTTTTTACGGGTTACAAATGCAAATATAAAAGAATTGAGCGACATAAATATGTATATTAATAATAAAAATAATATCACGACTGGAAAATATTTACGTATATATACCTAATATGTAAACTTCAATTCTTACATATATTCCAAAGTATCTATGCAACGAGCACATCACTTTTTAAAAATTAAATTATTAAGATTTTTTATGTAATATGAAAAATTAAGTGATATAAATATACAAAATAAAATTTACATTCTTAGATATATAAATACATAAGAATTAGCTGGTATGTATAAAATTGCCCCTTATTTTTAATGAACCAAATTATATATATATATATATATCCTCTACAAGCAGCAATATGAGGCATGAGGCATAAACCTAGGCATTTGGCAATTAAAAAAAAAACACATCAAGTTTTGTGAAACACTAATAGATTACTTGGATTTAGAGTCTATTTGAGGCAACTGCAGCCTAATGAAAAACTACTGCGCAACAGCTGTGCCAGGAAGCTGTTGCGTAGGAGCCGACTATTTGCTTGCTTTTATAATTTTACAATAGTTGTGTTGCAATTGTTTTTGAATAAATAATATTTTTTGTCCCTGTAGTATAGTGTTTATGTTTGAACTGGTCATGCTAGCCCATGTCAAACTTGAAAACAAGTATCCAAGAAACATTACAACATAAAAATATAAATCTCACTAAACAATGAGTAACACAACAATCAAATTAAAAAAAAGAACAACTAAAATAACAATTAATAATATAAAATTTTTAGTCGTTCTACATCTAGTGACTGAGAGATTACCACTCACCTGTGGGAGGTCGCAGGTAGCATTCCGACGGCCTAATCGGTCGATCTACAGAACGTCGAGGAGGTGTTGGAAGATAGTCTAATATTGGTGGCTCAGTATACTGTAGAAAGGACAGTGAATCGAGTTATTGAAGGGAGGAGTCAGCTCAAAATTAAAATAAACTAGCTCAAATCTAATTATTTGGAACCATTCCACCTCGAAATTGGCCTGTAACTCATTATATATATATACATACTTTTTAAAAATAATAAAAAAAAAATACTACGAACTGCTCTGGAGTTAGTTTGAGCACGATCCATGTATGGCTCAAAATTGGCTCAAAAAAAATTGCGGCAAAATTTTCGGCTCATAGTTGGACTCATTTATTTCAATCCGATCTCGATTTGAATTTTGATCTGAGCCAAAATTCAAATCGATTAGCGAGGTAGCAGGGTAAGCTTTATGGTAGATTTTCAATATAATATTTCATACATGTTTACGAAGATGGAGCAGCCCAGGGCTATGGGGACCATTTGGAAGGTTGGTGAACGATAAAGCCGTGTACTTTTATTTATTTAATTATTTGTTATTATTGTTATTATTTTGGAGGGATAAAGCGGTGTCCTTTTTTTTCTTTGGGTGGGGAATAAAGCCGTGTCCTATTAAACACTTATTGGCAATGCTTAAAACATTGCATCCTTTGTGAAGCCTTATAAATTTATGTATTGGCATTTTCGTCTATTTCTTTTTTTCTCCCACACCATACCCTCTCTCTCTCTCTCTCTCTCTCTCTCCAATGCATCAGGTAGCATCTTCTTCTTCTACATCCTTTTTTATTTTTAATTTTGAGCAATTAACGCTCTCCAAGCGAAATTAACAGCCCCACTTGCACATTTTAATTTCTTCAAGTTATGTACTGAAGTAAAACTAATCATCATTGTCTCATGCATAACAAAACACAACAAAAACAAACAAATGGCTTGCAAGAGCTGCGCAACATTAACATCGTTGCCCAAATGGTAACATACTAGCAATTCAAACACAAGTATTCTCTACCAAAATGAGTAAGATCTGATTTGAAGAAAGTTACGAGGCCCGCACAAAAATAACAACAAACATTAGATGGGTGGCACTGCATTGGTTGCCTGAGCAGAGAGAGTCCCACAGCCTTCCATGATGCAGTTGCCTAACATCATAACCTCTCTCTCTCTCTCTCTCTCTCTCTCCAATGCATGTAGCATCTTCTTCTTCTACTACTTCCTTTTTTATTTTTATTTTTATTTTTTCTTTTTTGAGAGGGAACGCAGAGGCATAAATTTGCTGCAGTATAGCATTACTCCTCTTTCTTACTTGCACAGTAGACCACGAACTGTAAGATGGGAAAACATAATAATCATAGCCTTCCAGTTGCCTTGAAAACAATAAAACTCAATTATACATGATGGCCCCAACAACTTGGAACTCAGTTTTCAAAAATGAAAAGAAATTTCAATTGAGAAAAAGAAGGATAAAATAAAAATCTAAACATGAAATGGCTGGCATTTTTCAGAAGCCAATGACACTTATCCATTTATGTGAGCTAATTTGAGCGTAGCATTAATTTAATAATAAGAAATGGTCGTCACAATAATCTTCAATGCTGCCATTGCCACATTCCAAATGCTAAATGTGAATAAAAATTTTGACAAAAAACTAGGCATGAATATTTTAAATCATTACATCAATGCTAGAACGTCCCTTGGAAGCAACATGATGTGCGGCCTGAATATGACAAGTGTGCAAGAGACGGTGCACCAACGCTCGTATGTAGTGTTAAATAATTAAAAGTGGTCAACATTCTAGTATATCAAAAACATATACTCTTCTGTGAAAGTAAAATAAATTCAGTAAATGAAATAAAAAAAACAAGGTTTAACTGGGTAGCAGCCCAATCACAGTTCACAAAGATCAAATCAAGTAAGAGGCCTCAATAAGAATAATGACACAAAAAATGACATGTTAATACATAATAATTGTGTGCCATGCAAGTAAATTTCTCTAAAAATACTGAGAGGGGCACTGCATCGATTGCCTAAAGAGAGGAATGCAGTTGCCAAACATCTCTCTCTCTCGTGCATGCAAATAGATAATAATGTATGAATGAAAATTACCCGTAAAAAAAAATTATGAGTGCCGCAACAATGTTTAACCAAAGAGAGAATCCCTTGGTCATCCATGATGCAATAGTTGTTAGAAACGGTGGAGCCCGGTCCACCATGCTTGGGCGGCTACTTTGCTTTGGAGAGTCACACCTCTTCACAAATAACCACACCCGCCTTACTCTTTTGTGAAGTGAAGCATCTCTTCGCTCCCTCCTGTTCATGATAAAAGCTTCGGATGACTCTCCTTGGGTTTTGTAGTAACGCTTTGAAATCTTCTTCGGTTTCCTTGGGATAGAGGAAGGTTTCCTCGGGGCAAAGGGAGAGAAGTGCAAGGAGGAGCAGTTCCTTATAGCAGAAAGATCATTTAGAAGGAAGAAGGAAGAAGGAGAAGGAGATTGTTCTCTCTAGGCTTCTTCTTGGTGGCTCGTGGCGGAAAAGAAATTGAATTTATTTCTCTTGTAAGTTTGTCTTCAGAAAAGAAATTGAGTTTATTTATCTTGTAAGTTTGTCTTCTTCGGTGTATCTCGGTGTAGAGTTTTCATCGGTGTATCTCGGTATAGAGAGAGAAGAACAGAGAGAGAAGAAGAGAGAGCAATGAAGAGTGAGAGATTCCTCTTGTAAGTCGAGGTGATCGACTGGTGTAAATTCCTCAAGTAATAAAATCTTCTGCAACTCCGTGGACGTAGGCAATTTACCGAACCACGTAAATCTGTGTTCCACTGTGTTGTTCTTTTCTTGTGTGATTTTTTTCATTCTATTTTTCACTTCGTCGATCGTTCTCCTGTTTGATTTATATATATACTACATCAACTGGTATATCTAGATCTCGCAACAACAACAATAGTCTAACATAAAATCCCTCTCTGTTGTACGTTAATAAATAAAAAATGTACATGTAAGTAGAATTTTCCTAAAACAATTGTTAGGTGGCACTGCATCGGTTGCCTAAAGAGAGGATCCCTGACCATCCATGATGCAGTTGCATAACATCTCTCTCTCTCTCTCTCTCTCTCTCTCTCCTTTATATGTAAATACATAAGAATTGTGTTGTTTGAATTTAAATTTTCCAAGGAAATTGATAGATGGCACCACATTGGTTGTCTGATGAGAGGATCCCACAGTCATCCATGATGTAGTTGCTTAACTCAGATCTCTCTACCCACACACACATATAGGGATGATGCTGATGATTAATATTGAGTAGCCCAATCACAACTCACAACTCACAACTCACAACTCACAACCATCAAATCTAGTTATGAAATCTCATCAAGAATAATGACTAAAAATTTGATATGTTAATCCATTTATAAAAATTGTGGTATGTACGTAAATTTACCTAAAAAATGATGTGTAGAACCACATCAGTTGCCTGAAGAATCTCTCCGCCATCCATAATGCATTTGCCTACGTCAAATATCCAAATCTCTCTCTCTCTCTCTCTTGTATGTCAATCAATAAATTGTGTGGTATGTATGTAAATTTCCCTGAAAGACGAGGATCCCCAACCATCCATGATGAAATTGAGTTGCTTAACATCAAATGTCTCTCTCATGTAAACATGCGGGCTAGAAAATTCGCGGCGATAGAGTAATGAATTATAGTCCTAGGGTTGCACGAGAATTCAACACACACTCAAATAAAAGTTTGCTAGATTCAACATTCGTTTGGTAGTGACATCAGAGCTTCCTTCAATCAGACGACATTTGATGAACATTTTAATGCCTTAAAGATGTCAAAATTCAACAATCTTGAGCTCACCCAATTCATCTTGTCGAGACGTTAAATTCAACTATAAGTTTGACCTTCTAATATGTCTGAAAAGCTTCCAATAGTGGTTTAATGGCATGATCTGAGCTAGATTTAACTAAGATTGAACTAATTTTGATATCATTGGGTTTGTGCCATCAAGCTGGTCAGTTTGACCATAGTTTGACAAAATCAGAGCTTTGGATGACTCTTTGGATGACTCTTAAATGAAGTTTACATGTTTCTTACACAAAAGATTGCCTCGAGATTCATGTAGGATGATGAGAATTTGTTGATGGCGTATTTTATATATATATATATATATATATATATATATATTCACGTAGGATGATGAGAATTTGTTGATGGCGTATTATATATATATATATATTACTTAAAAAAGAAATAGGTATTTGGCAGAGGCCCAAATATCGATTTCCCATGCGCACAGTGAACCCCGCCAATCAACAGACATATATTACTTAAAAAGGAAATAGATATTTGACAGGAGGCCCGATACCGATTTCCCATGCGCACAGTGAACCCCACCAATCAACATACATATATTACTTAAAAAGGAAATAGGTATTTGACTGAGGCCCGATACCGATTTCCCATGCGCACAGTGAACCCCACCAATCAGAGGCCACGGCTTGCAGCAAAAATATATACACACACACATCCATCCATGCATACAAGGTCCAATGGATAATAATGATTAGTAGCCAGATCACAATTCAAAACCATCAAATCTAGTTAAGAGGCCTCATCAAAAACAATGACAAAAAGATTTGATAAGTTAAAACATAACTTAGTTTACAAATCCTCTAAGTAGATCAGAGACAACGACAACACGAGATGAAAAAATCAAGAGATCTTGATCAAATTTGTCATCATTTACCCCACCATCAGCATTAAACTCAAGGCTATAAATTTCATAACCAAAATTTACGTTTACTACTATACACAAAATATTTATTGGGAGGGATAATAAATCATATGGACCGGCACCTATAAGAAAACTTGAACCACAGATTTTAAAGTCCTCTCCAAATGATAGTGAAATCTTTCGATGGTGTTTTATCCACAATCAAATCTATCTTATAAAAACTTGATTGGGAATATTAAACACAAAAAATTCTCTAAACAAAGAAGCTAGGGCATCGACTTTTCGGAGCCCAAAAACATCATTCATAATACAGTTACCCCTTCCAAAACAAAAAATTAAGCTTCTATGGGCTGTGAAACTTAAACATCATTGCCAAGTCGGTAACATACTAGCATTTCAAAAGCATGCATACTCTACTCTGTGAAATGACAAATCAGGTCTGAAAAACATTTCAAAAGGTATCCCCGTAGTTTTTTATAAGAGCAATAAACATGAATTCGCTTACTAAGCAGGAAAGAAGAGACCCAAAAACTAGGAAAAAAAGCAACACCTTGGAAATGGTAAAATTTAAAACAACACATTTTGTTTTCAAATTAAATAGCCCAAACAGAACCACCCTGTTCATTTAGAAGCCTAAGAAAAAATAATAACAAGGATTTA